AGTACACATAACTCTCGGATTTAAATCCGAGGTTTCCACATTTATTGTAATTTTCTATAGGTGGGTCCAGGCGGACCCCAGGACAACTACGAAGTACAAAAATCAGGACAACCACGAAGGGTTAATCGATAAGATCAGATTAGTACATTGGATCAATTTATGCAATGTTTCTTTTAATTTATTTGCAAATAAAAACAATTGTATCAAGATAAACATCAACAAATAGGTTTAATTATGAGTTGAATGGATTTGTGCAGTTTGTTGGACGTATAAAGAATAAAAAGGAAGGCACAATGCTAGACGACGTTTGAAGTTGATTATGATTTTTCTTCAAGTAGATATTTATTCACTTGTTTGTTCACATACCGATAAAAATATTAAAAATCTATCACACGTTTCTTTTGATTGAAGATCGAAAGATAAATAGATGACTCTGTCTATCGACTTTCAATCTAAATCTTAGTCGTATTTGTTTTACTTGGTAACCTATCAGAGATGTCCATCGCGGTTGAAAACTGACCGCTGCCGCGCCGCGGCGATAAAAGAAAAAAGCTAACGCGCCGCTACCGCACCGCGGTGATAAAAACAGAAAACCTACCGCGCCGCTGCCGCGATGATTGTTAGAATAATGTTGTGAATTTTACGATCTGTGACTGTTCAGGACTAGAGCTGTTGTTACCAATCTATAAAATTCGTCGAATCTCATAGTTTTGCACTTGCAAACATTGAAATTCTGTTCGAATTCATGCATTTTTGCATTGTTCTCCAAAAAAACCTACCGCTGCCGCGATAGTTAGTTAAAAAAACGACTGCTGCCGCGCCGCACCGCGGTGGTTATTTGAAAAAAACAACCGCTACCCCGCCGCCACCGCCACAGCGGCAGCGGTCGCGCCGCGATGGACATCTCTGTAACCTATCAAATTTTGAAGAAGGACTGATACATATCTCACTTTGTTCGTCATTTATAGTTTTTTTCTTGTTCGGAAACAATCTAACATCATCTTTACAAACAAAATGCAATCAACTATTGAAAAACTTCGTGAATATTGTGAAACAGATTATCGATCACTTCATGAAGTTATTAAATTATGGACAAATGTTTTGTCTAAATGTGATTTATCAATATTAGGTGATGAAAAATGGTCAGTACTTGAACAAGTATTCAAATCATCTTTACTTTGTTCAAATTCGTACATTGCTCGTGAATGTCTTCAACAATTGAACAAATATTTTTCAAAAACAAGTCCTGCTTCAATAACATTAAATACGATGTACTTTGAATTTATTGGAGAATTTGATAAAGCTAAACAAATTATTTCAACATTATTAAATGATAATGAAACAGATGACATTTAGCAATCTATTAATTTAATTAATTTTTTAGTTCATATTTGTAAAAGATCAAACGATATTCCTTCAACTTGTCTATCTTGTATTGAAGTTTATTGTCAAAAAAATGGCAGAGGCTATTGTTAATAATAATGCATTAAATGATTTAAAAAAGCCATTAAATGAAATAAAAAATTTACTTAAATCTATTAATCTAAACGATGTTCTCAAAGATAAAATAAATCTTATTCTTGATAATATTGATTCTTGTTTTTTGCATCTCTCAGTAAATTATTGCCTTAGTATTATTAATCTATTTTTTTAATTCATGTCTTATTTAGTATGATATGAAGAAAATGAATAATGAAATTCAATTATTAAATAACAAAAACGATCGATTGCAAGAAGAAATTTTTGATGTAAAGTAATGTTTTAAATTTGTTTTAAATTTTTAAAATATTTGATTTTAAAAAACAAGCTAGTAAAAAAGTGTTGGATGAAGCATATGCACACTTGTTAGCTCGCTTCGACGAGCTTAACATTGTTTATTTATTTCATATGTTAAATCTCTTCAAAATGTCCTTAAAATCACTAGGTATATATACATCCATAGAGAGGAGAAGAAGAACAAGAGAGAAAGAAGGAGAAACAACAATAACAATAACAATACAGTAGAAAGAAGAAGGGAGAGAAAAAGAGATAGAGAATCGAGGGTAGGCAGAATGTGAGTCACCGTTAACAACACTTGTTAAGTTCTTTTTACAAATAAATATGAAGAAGAATTTAAAAAAAGTAATAAATCACAAACAAATACAAATACAAAACAATCTCCTTTTTATTGTTATAAACGTAATCTAAGAAAATTAAAATATGATGGTGCGAGTTCAGAAAATTCCTTAAAAATACTCAACAAGGTTATCAATGAATTTGTTATTGAAGCAGGTATTGCGAAGGAAGATTTTATCGATTTATTGCTAAATAAAATCGACTGTAATTATGATGCTCATCATATAATTGATAATAATATAGAAGATTTGATGAATAATCGATCTACAGAAAATATTATTAATTATCTAGAAAATTACCATTCAATGAAATTAATTGTTGGTGGCAATGATGAAGTCAATCTAAACAAATTAATCAAATTAAATATTAAAATCAAAACAAAAGAAAAATCTCTGTGTAACAAAAACATTTTTATACTTACAAATCTATAAATTTTTTTCGTTTTAGTAGTATATTTCTTGATCGATATTTTGATATTCAACAAGATCCGAATTATATGATTGGTGGTCCATTTCGAATGTCGATCGTTGAAAAATATAAAGTTTGTTCTTTTTATTTTTAAAATAAAAAAATCAATGTTTATTGTAGGAAATGGGTACAATCATTCCGGGTAAAATTGAATCAGGACGTGTTCGTGTTGGTGATCGATGTGTAATTATGCCAAATCGAACGCGTGTTGAAGTTACAAATATTTATTCTGGAGGTCGTGAAATTAATTGTTGTATTTATGGAGAAAATATTCGACTTAAATTAAAAAACGTTGAAGAAGAAGTAAGTTTTCTTTTATTAATTATCACTTTCTAATCAAGAATTTTAGGAAATCTCACTTGGTTTTATTTTATGCGATGCTCAACAAAAATGTCATGTTGGAAGAGTGTTTGATGCACAAGTAAAATAAATAAATTATTGAAATATATATTTACTAGCGGATGTACCCGATGGTAGTCATGATAATTTTATAATATATACTTGACATATTAGAAAAAGACGTCACTATGATGTCCTATCAATTATTGGAATTCGATATCGCAAAATATGTTCAGATCACTTTCCCTTTTCAACTGATGTTTTCCCCATTTTTAATTAAAAAAAAAATTCTATCCTTTTCAGTGTTCTTTTTGTTTGATCGACTTCTTTTACTACAAAAGACCGTTTACCGAAATACAACTTCGATTGCAAAGCTTTTTGATACAGAACCTTCTTGATTTTCGGAACAGGGGCCAAAATAAACAAACTCTTCCCAGTTCCAACTCCTCAGCATGCTACGTTAAGTTGGCCATGAGAAAGGCAAGGGCTCTCTAGATTAATGCCAACCACCTTAAGTAATTACTCTTGAGCTCTGTCGATAGACATCGCGAAGGAAAGACATGCAGCAAATTGAAGACTCTTGAATTCAAACGGTATATCTGTAAGAACCATGAATATTCATGGTACGAATACATGCTCACTCTTTGGGTAGCCTGTCAACATTATTTTTCTTATCGTACATTAGAGATAGAGATTAGAGAATTTCCAATTTTCACAACCTGGGTGACATTACATTCGATTACCTTCCTTTCCTTGCCTGTCGCGCCAATCTACTCTCAATTTTTCTCTCCACTAAAGAGTATATCATGGAAATTTTGATGGCGCTAGTTATTACCGAAATCAAATGTACAAACAGCAGACAGACAAACATTGTTATTTATATAAACAGAAGAAGACACTCGCTTCCATACCCTATACCCACATCCAGTGCTTAGATCCTTGAATCGAACTCATTGCCTCTAAAGTCCCTACCTGACTTTTCTCCTAACGACCAAAGATTGATTAGCTAGGTTTCTTAGTAGCCCAATTCCTATTGGTTTCCAAACAACTCATTAGATTTCAAGGCAAATAGACCTCACATTCGAACTCACCATTTCGAAAACCCCCTGGTCCATCAATTCCTTCAAAGTATAAGTGTTCTGGTCTATTTTCTTAAGTACTGAAGTCCTATTAGTTTCCAAACAACCATTCAGGTTTCGAGGCAAATGGACCTCAGAGTTGAGCTCACAATCTCTACATCCCCGTGCCCCATCATTTTCTTGGAGGTATAAGAGTTTTGGCCCGTTTTCTCAAGAGCTAAAGTCCTATTGGTTTTCGGCCAACCAATCAGATTTAGAGCCAAATGGACCCCAGATTCGAACTCACCGCCCTCGAAAACCCTGCGCCTCATGATTTCCTTCCAAGTATGAAAATTTGGGTCTGTTTTCCTAAGAGCTGAATTCCTATTGGTTTCCAAACAACCAATCAGATTTCGAGGCGAATGGGCCTCAGATTCGAACTCATCGCCTCAAAAAAATCCTGTGCCCCATCATTTCCTTCAAAGTATATGTGTTTGGCTCTATTTTTTTAAGAGCTGAATTCCTATTGGTTTCCAAATAACCAATTACATTTGGAGGGAAATGTATCTCAGATTCGAACTCAGCGCCCTCGAAAACCTCTAGTTCCATGTTTCCTGTGTGTTCATGAAGTGGAACTCAGTTATAGTTCTATAGTACCGAATGTTGCAACCCTATTGGTCGGTTTCATAGATCGCCTGTAGCATGCGTAGGATTCGTTTTTTTTCGGAAACAAATACATGTCGACCTTCTCCTAGGTGTAAAGACCATTTCTGGAAAGTTTCATAGCATTTGCTCGTACCGTGTCCAAATGCATGAAGAACAAACAAACAGACAGACAAACATTCTTCTTTATATATATAGATAGATATATTGAAATTTAGGTGGAGCTGACTGAACACAAATCAAATATTCGTCCAGGTTATCTAGCTGTACTTCATATTCATGTAGCTGTTGCTGAAGTTCAATTAAAAGAATTAACAGCATTAATTGATCGTAAAACAGGTGAAACAACTCGAGAATATCCAAAATTATTAAAACAAAATCAAATTGCAACTGCAAGATTTGAATTATTACAACGTGGACAAACTATTTGTATGGAACTATTTGAACATTTTCCTCGACTTGGTCGATTTGCATTACTTGACGAAGATCGAATTGTTGTTGTTGGAAAAGTTCTTCAAATCGTCGAATAAAAACTGTTCTTTTTTTTCTCTATGTTTTATTTTTATTCTCACAAAAAACCCAAAGCTTGACGAAATAGTACTTTTGTTATACATTTGATTCTGACAAAAACTGAAATAAACATTTAGTTTTAGAAAAAAAAGAATATTTTTTTTGAATAACAATAAAAAAACCTGCTTGATTAATTTAATCGAATAATGAAAATAAGAATTAATATGAAATTGTTAAATGTACAACAAATAAAAAAAAATCATTGATTTAATTTGATCTTTAGATAGAAAGTTTCAATCAATTAAATAGATTCTTTACATATGTATATCGGATGTTCGCTAAGTTTTCACCTGCACAATCAATATTATTTTCTTACATATTTCATTAATGAAAAAGTTTGATATTAACAGTATATATACTAAGTGCCTCTATCTGTCATATGCTAGAATTTGAGCTTCTAAACTCTTATAGTTAGAGAAGCACAAGCATCTTAACATATCATAGAAAATTTTGCATTACGATTCTGTTCAGAGTTCCTACGATGTGTGAAATATTGCTTGAACTAAATTAATGTTCAAGGAAATTTTTACCAGAAATATAACTTCGAAAACTATTGGTTGCAAGTTCGATGGGTACTGTTAAATGCAACATTATATGCCTGTGTTCATATTAGTTTAGATTTTATTCCTCTGCATAAAATATGTTTAAAACTTGTTTCGCGGTTTCTGAGAGCGTGAACTCAGCGAATCATGTTCAGCGGCATTCTATTACATTAGAAGATAATGTCAAATATGTTTTTTTATTTGAAAGCTGACATTTAGAGCTAATGACTCTTGTGGCCTTTTTTTCGAAAGGTATTTTTGATAAAGGAAAATACGCTCTTCTTCTATCAAAGCTCGGTTATTTACATAAAATGTCTCAGTTTTATTGGAAAGTTTTTGACTTTATCCGTGTCTCAAGGTTAAAAGAGGAAGAAAATCTGAAAAAATGGCCACGAGAGTCATTAGTCCCAAGCATCTTCTGTAAAATAAAAATAAAAAAAAAAAGACTAGACTTTTTCAGGTGTGGTAGCCGAATGCCGTTGGAGACTCGATAAGACTCTTAAAATTGGTGCTATGTATAGACTGACACTGTTATAGCTACAACAAATAATGGAATACGAAGCTGATAATTATTTTGTGTGCGTAACTGAGCACCCCCATTATATGCACAAAGTTTCAGTCCGATAGCATGTCATAGCATGAAAATCCTGTTTCGAAGGAGTGCCATAAGCAGATGATCGCAGCAATGTTCAAAAGTTTTGAAGAGGTGCCAAAAAAAGAAGTCTTATTGTTTAGGAAAGATCAGACTTCTAGCTGTATTTCCATACATTTATGTCAATGTCGATTTTTCTGACGAAAGTTAACTTATTTTTGTGAAATTTACGCATATTTTCGAAGAAAATAATAGTGGTTATTGTTTTTTTTCTCTCAACACTTACACATATATCTTTGAATGATAAGTGATAAAATGTTGAATTGAAATGAAAAAAATGTGTTTGTTTTTAATAGACTGAACATATTGATTGTATTTTGATAAATATAAGAGAAAAAAAAAAGTAATGCATACTGCCTGAAGGATTAAAGTGTAAACAAGTGCTCTAAGTAATGTGATTGGTGCATGAATATGCTAAAAAAAAGTTTATTCTCATTCAAGTTTTATTCAGCATACTTCAAATAGAATGATTTTATCTGTGAACATTAGAATATACATTGTTCTATTTGTTGTTAAACTTAAGTCATCAAAAATTGCGAATAGAAATCTGCCGATGGCATTTCACAAAGAAACATCACATAAAGAGAGTATTAAAGAGTTGTCTCAATGTTTTATTAAATTAATATTGTAGTAGATTGAGTACATTCTAAACTCTTTTTTTTTCAAAATGTTTAAAAACAATGAACTTCCATGTTACAGTTCAGTGTGTACATTGGCTAATTTTAACGACATTTCAGCACAAAATTAGAATGAGCCCTACGATTTGTTTCGTTCGGGGATGTTTTACATTTTTTACTTTCAATCTCGATATTCAATTGATATAAAATGGAAAGATTAAATAATGAGTCAGTTAAATAGATTTGAAATCTTGACAAAAATGTTTTTTCACAATAGAGATATTTACCATTTGTATACTTAGAAACTTTCTTGAGGTCCCTATGATGATTTATTAAAAGATTCGAAAAAGAGTTTGAACCGAAAATTTTCTCATACAAGTTTGTACTTCGATTATTGCAACTCGAAAGTAAACGTTGATACCATCAATAATATGTTATGCCGTAGAGTAAAACTATCCTACAAATGTAATATCGGAGTATTTTTTTGTGTTTGCCAGATTTCATTTCAATTTTCGTTTGTAAAAAATCGACTTTTTCATCAAAAGAAGTTTTGTATAGAAAAGGAGTGCTTATAGTTTCACTTCGATAAAAGTCATAGATTAGCTGAATATAAAATATTGTACTACAGCGCAGGCTTGGCGGTGGGGGGGGGGGGGGGGGGGGGATTTCCCCCCGCTAAATTCAGATCCTTTCTGCCAATTTCTTTCCGCTGTATTTCTACGTTTTTCTTCCGAAAAATATTTTTTCTAGCTTTCGTACAACCTATATATAAACAAAATTTAAGAAGATGAATTTCTCAAAATTTCCTCTTCGCAATGCATGCATACTTATTGATTAGTGGTAGCAATGCGAATAGTTGAGTCATATTATCCCTCTTTCTGGCAAAAATAGATAGATAGCATCAAGAATATATTTTCTGCAAAATTCCCGCAGAAAATCAACTTGAGAGCAGGAGCGTAAATAGGGTGGGGCGCATGGGGCGCGACGCCCTCCTGCTTTTGAAAATTTGGTTTTTTTTTGGTGAAAAAAATCGAAAAAACTGCGTTTTTAGGGGTATTTTAGTGCAGAATCCATACGAACGAAGACGTTACGCCCCCCCTGCTTCGAGATTTTGAGATATTAAGGGCCTAAGCCCCCTCCCTTAGAGACCGAGTTACGCCCCTGCTTGAGAGTACTTTTCTTTGGCAGAAAGCTCATATGTACTCTTTGCCTAAAATTTTTGGTGAATTTCGGTCTGCTTTCCTGCTCATTGTCGGGTTGTGATTCCATCTGTGTTCAATATACGACGTGTAACAGTGAATTGAACTTATTTTATTCAAAATAATTTATATTTCAACGAACCCATTCGTTATCGGCATAGTGAACAATAAATATGTTATATATAAAGTGCTGGCAATGCGAATTTCAAGCAAATTTTTTTTCACCTTTCTTTTACATCATTTGATAGAGTGTGAGCTGCTGATCACGAAAA